GTAGCACACTCCGCGCTCTCCATGAATGGGTGAGGGTGCAGTCTTCTTCCCCTTGAGCTTGCGGGTGACTTGCCAAAGCTCGTCGTCCCCAGGTTCAAAGGATTTCAAGAGCTCCTCTCACCTTTCGTTTCGGTGACCAATGATGGCCTGCTTGACTTTGATTGGCCATCCTGCTTACCGCAATTTTATCTCCTGGGAACAGGGTTCGCTGATACAACCTTCTCTCTCGTATCATGGCTTTGATACGAGGGGGAAACTCATTGTAGCTCTCAAGCGGACACTCCTTCCTGGAGGTGGCCGCTCGAAACGCATAATTCACAGAAAGCTCGAAACGTTCAACTGCCGCGTCGAGTTCGTCGGGAGAGCGGGGTGTCTCAAGAGGGACGCGCATTTCTCCGAGCTCGGTTGTGAAGATATCCCAATCCGTCGAAGATCTCATACGATAATCAGAAGAAGGAAGATCATCACCCAATACCAGGATTACTGGATTATAGTCAGAATCCAATTTCGACAGAACGTAAATTTCGCTAGTCAGAGAGACGTTTCTGAGAAGCGCGATGTCTAGTACGTCAGGTCTAGTCTGACCGCGATAGTATGTATGCTCATCTGGACCCAGCACAAGATACTCATGCCTGTCAACAGGCACATAGAGCGCTTGGCCGTTTCAATTGGTGGCTCTACTCCATAGTCTGTACTTGGCGTTAAAGTTACCAGCAGCAATTGTCGGAATGTTGCTTCCCATCAGCAGTTCATTCAGTGATTCTGGGAGTAATTGATTGTTCGGAGGGTTGTTAAATTTTGACACCTACAGCCTCAGTTCCGTGTAATCGAGCACTGTCAATGCCGTACTGGACACACTGAAGGGATCGTTTGACAAAGATGTCAACTCTCTCTGCAGCATATCTACCATGTTCTCTGTATTGAATATGTGGTGAAATGACAATGCATTCTTTTCTCAGATGCGCCTCTTGCACGAGAGCCACATCGATGTTGTATTCAATTAAAAAGTTCTCAAAATTATGTCTATTGGAACGAATTCCACTAGCATTCCAAAGGACTATCTTCAGAGATCTAGGCAACGTTGGTTGTCTAGACATTGGCAGTTCCGATTATCACGTCGGTATTCACCGTGAACATTTTTTGTAGCACGGGGAATTGTACGAACAATTTTTTCATCTGGTCCAGTGCGGCACAGATGTCTGAAACCCCCTGCGTCTGAGGTGAGGGCTCAGCTTGAGAAGGGGCAGGCTTTGCAGTACTAATAGCACCCTTGGACGCGTCCAGCCCCCATAGGTCTTCCTGAAGGGGTTGGCTTCGCCTACGGAATATTATAAGTGACTCGCTCACATCGGTTCACGTCTTTATATACCCAAACGAACGTCATACTAGAATGTACGGTAACATTCTACCCGGTCTAGAAACTGCTACCAAATTCCAGAGAGTTCATTGAACAAGCGCCATCTAGCGTCGAGTAGCAATACTAGGTTTTACAAGGATTATAGTCGATTTATTCAACTGTAGGCTGTAGGTGTGAACTAAATAAGTAATTTTTCACTTTTCAACCTTCTCAATTATGTACGCATATAGAACAGCAACTTGAAAATTATTTCTTACTTCGCTTCTTAAGGAAATATTCTTTAGTGAAATATCTATAGAACGGGAAGCCCTAACGTGAAACGAAATCTATGCAACAGAACTGTAATACTGTCCTCGACAGGCGTTTTATCAACTAAGTTGATCGCTGCTTTGTTAACGCAGTTCTTCCGTTCTCTTCTCAGACGGTCTTTTCATGAAGATTTCCCTATGAGTTTTCGGGAATATTTTCACAGTACTCTTTATGACTCACTTCCCAATCTTGTTCCTTATCAAATATTTTGGTAAGCCCTCAGATCATTCAGGGCCTATATAGGGTGACAAACGAAATCATTGTACACGGTGCCATTCAATTGTTTAAGAGGTAAATGAATCCAAGTGGAAAATTTGAAACAGAAATCTGTAAATCTTTGTGGACCATTTGGTCGGATATGAAAGTCTCTTTTCAACGCTATAGCACATGTGTCCATTCCCATTCAAAATGGCGGCGTAGGAGCTACGTTCTCTAAATTCAATATGAAGGCAGTTATAACATAAATTCTACTCGATGTATAGAGAAACAAATGCCGAAATTTGCTCAATTTTTGAATATAAATTCAAAAATTCAAATGTTTCACTTATATACGTACTTTTTCCAAATTTTTCAAAATGCCATATTTTATTTCATTTATCTAGTTGTAGTTTTCATGTAGTTATTACCTGTACTTAGATAAAATTATTTGTTACTAGGTAGGAGGAAGGTCATATCATTCAATTTGTTATTATATAAAGCGCAAATTAGGTGCAAGTTAGATCATATTATTAACACGCCTGAGGATGCTATTGTATAGCGAAACACGTGTTGCGGTTTTGTGTTGAGACCTTTTTCAATGAAACTTGTAGAACATACCGCATGACCGAGATAGCAATAGTTACGTAAACGTAAATATTAAACATCGCTTTCGCCTGAAAAAATAATTTTGTTTTCAAACATTGTGAAATAATTGCAATGGCGGAACGTTGGCGCTAAAAATGCCAGTCAGTCGTGAATGTAGGTATTAGTGAGAATTAAAAAGGCCTTGCCATTCTTGATCCCGTATTTAAAGATGCAAATTGAATTCAAGAGTTTCACCCCCATTATATAACATCGAAGCGAAGAAAATGAAATAGCAAACGAAGAGAAACGAAAGATTTCAAGGAATGCGTTCAACCCCAATTACCGTTCTTTTCTACTTCGCTCCGATATATATTCCACGTCTATGATGAATAGAAACCCGCATCAGTTGTTTTTACGTATCTCTCATTTACATTTCATCTTGAAATGATTTGATTTGGTCTGTAAAGTTACGGAGAGCCTAGAATTTCTGATGACAACCATAAAATTTGCTGTCAATCACAAGCAGAACGCATGAAGGACTCGTCAATAAATTCAGAAAGAAAAGAAGATGAAGAGTTCCATATATGATGAGATAAACAAATATTGACTTTATAATACGATGAAGACCCATATATATTACCAAATATTATAGAACAAAGTCCTGCCGCCGTGTTTTTCTGTCTGTCAGTTTTAACGCGATTAACTCAAAAAGTACCCAACGAATTTTTATACGGTTTCCACTAATCAATGGAAGGTTTATGTGTATAAAATCATTGATGTATTGTGTAAATTAGTTGAAATATAACGATCTTATTTTTTTGAGATATAACAAACAATTTACTACATAATGTTTTTCGTTTATAGATCTAAGAATGATGTGGTAGTATATTCATGTTGTTATATAACTGTAGGGGTTTATAGTGATTTTCCAAAGGGTGGCCGATTCCTCTAGTCTATTCGCCTGCTGTAGCAAGTATCTGGTGATATGCGCTTGGCTTGTTGATCTCGCCAGCAGAGCTGTATCGTTCGCGTAGAGTGCCAACTTGATAAAGTTGTTCTCTGGCTTAGGCACGTCTGCTGTGTATACCGAGAAGAGGTGTGGCGAAAGGACTGCACCTTGTCAGACCCCTGCTTCAAGTAATCGCATGGTGGAGAGTTCTTGTCCTACTCTGCAGCGGCATCGCCTGTCAGCTAGAAAATATTCGATAAGGCTTACCATTTGTTTCGTGTCGCCAAAAGTACCCATTTTGGCTAGTAGTTGGTCGTGCCAAACTCTGTCGAACGCTTTGGAGACGCTTAGGAATGTCGCTCCTGTGTGATATCCTTTGCCCAGGTTGAAACCTTATGTCGCATAGTCTACTACCATCAGGACTTGCAGGTCTGTCGAGTGTTTGGATCTGAAATCGAACTGTTCATCCGGTAAGATTCCGAGTTCGCTGGTTTGGGCTTCTAGTCTTTTCGAAAAGACTCGTTCTGCCACTTTGCTTATGAAAGGGGTTGAGCTTATTAGTCTATGGTTATCCGGAAATATGTGGTTCTTCTTTGACTTCGGGATGTGAATGACCGTTGCCTCCTTGAACGGTTACGGGAAATATAGCGTTGATGATATTCGTCATTGCCGCTATATCCTTCCTTGGTCCGGTTTGGAATTTTGTCCGGGCCTGGGCTCTGAAGCGCGGTTTTCGACGCCCTATTTATAGGCACGCGCCGCCGCCCCCCGGCCAGTACAGCCGCATCCGCTATGTCCCAACATTTGAAATCTATAATATTTTCGAAAATATTCATTACAAGTTACATGGTGTAAAAGGCCATATTGATCTATATTGAATGCATAATGTATTTGAGATACTTAATTGAATGAGGATTAATGCTGTATTGCTTAAAATCGCTTCATAAATAAGCCATTATTTTTCTCGAGGATAAAAAATGGTTATTGTGGGTTTGCCCTAAGAGAAAGACGTATACTATCGAGCACTTTTTTGGTGGCCTTTTTAAGGTGTACAATACTGTAGTACATTTTTTGATCTATCTCGTAGGGTTCAGCTAGCGTTTGCAATGTGTTCATTCACGACATCACATTAGAAACCTCTGAAATTATCAGTGTTTCCCTACTATATTATGCATGTTATATACATATAAACCTTCTTCTTGAATCACTTAAAAAATCCGCATCAAAATCCGTTGCGTAGTTTTAAAGATCTGAGTATACATAGGGACACACAGCGGGAAGCGACTTTGCTTTGTAGTGATTAGACCAGTATATCGAGTTGGTTTCATATAAATTTTGTTTGAATGATTTTATAATTTACGTTAAAAAACTTTTTACTTGAGACAATCAATACTAGTATGATTATTTATCAACAGACTGCGATCATTTATAGATCAAATTTCATTCCATTCCATTCATTTCAAAATATCTGACTTTTTCTGCAAGCTGATGGTATGATGAGATAATATATTCTATAATGAAATTTTTATTTAGGTTTATAAACATACGGAAATGTTGTAATTCATTTGTTTCGATATGAAATATCACACTCAAAGGTCAGGAACAAAGTAAACATCAAAATATAATAAAAATAAAAAAATATACAAACGGGCCAATGTAAAAATAGACACTGTTTTACAGTAATATCACATACATCGAGAGGGTATAGTAAAAAATATTCAAAAAAATGTTGGAACCACCAAACCGGCTTCCATTGTCGTCATTTTGGACCCGATTCTTTTTCTCCACATGCCTCTCCAAAGAGATGTCGAAAGCCATTTCACGCCCGCACAATCCCTGATACTCCACAGTACAAGCAGTACCATCTGCGCAGTTGGAACAGGGCTCGCCAATTTTGTATATTGTCTGGCTTGGTATGTTTCCTGTGGGCCCATAATTGCAGATGAACTGTTCCCTGTAGGTAACATTTGCGCCGTTTGCTTGTTGAAAAACAACCCTTGCGCAACCAATTTGGTAGGTTTCCGCCCATATTAGTTGTGTAAATTGGGACAAAGCATCAGTGGACCTAAAAATATTCGATTAATGAACAGAATTCCATCTCACGCCGTTTCATAGGTAATCAATGAATTTCAACAAATATTCCTTTTTATTGAAGCCACGATTTTCTGTATAAGAAAGAGATTCAAGCTGTTAACATGCGCTTGAAGGAGAAAATAAACTTTAAATTAATTTGCATTTCATCAGTTTGGACTTCCACTGTCTTATAAGATATAAATTGATTTGAAATCCCTGGAAGAATCTGTAAAAAAATTAAAATGATTATCTGAAAAAAACAATTTTATTAAGCAAAAAACTGAAATTACAATGAAATAATATACAAGCAACAACTAAATAAACCGTCGAGATCCTTCGAGACTCAATTGGTCGCGTTTTCATCTCTCACAATTCGGATATCGTAGTTTTTCGGTTCAGTGCATTGACACCCTTTTCCTACTTGATTAACGGTTTTTACATTGCCTGAAAAGTCTATTTTGGCCAATGAACAGGATGCTTCTTGCAATACTTTTTCAATTCATACCGAGCTTAATGCACTACTGGCAGTTATATAACCTTGTTATTTTGGGTGGAACACCATATTGGACGTAGAATGACATCTCTTAACTCACTATGCATTATCATTCAAAATAAATATGTATGCAAAATTTCATCTCAATCATATACTTTAAAAACGTACATGCGTCCGCTGCTCCCAAACACCAGAAGTTTGGTTCAACCTTTCTATTTATATGATGACTTGCATCCCACTCCAGCTCCGCACGGGTGCAATGCTGATACTAAACATAAATTTACCCACCGGAAATTTAAGGGCATGGAGAAACATTGATGAAAAGTTAATTTTGTTTTATGGACGCCCCTTTTCCTCCTGCGGCTGGCTCCTCAGTTGGAATATTAAAAAAATCCTTCCTTATTGTACGTCTACTATATGAAACGCAGCTACAAACAAAAAGTAGGGGGGAAGTCTCAGTATGGTGTGTCCATACTTTCCAGCAATACTCTCAAGGGCATACACTTTTTCAAATGTTTTTGTCTGTAAAATTTCAAGTGGTTCGTTTTGTATTTCTTTTTTCCTCGAATTTTTATTCGGTACTTTGATGAGCTGTGGCGAATGATAGGAAGCGTTGTCAAGAACTATTACATTATTCGCATGTGTTTTCAAACCATTCCTCGAAAATATTAGCTTCCATGTTCTTATGATAGTCAAAATTGCAGTCTTCCAGTTTTTTTTTACATAATTTCGAAGAATACGGAACCCATCCTTTACTTCTTCCGCAATGCACAATGATTAGTCGCGATCCTCTGTTTGCATGCATGTTAGTCGTACACATTCTCGAACCATCAGTCCACCCTTTCGTAACTGTGACGTGAGTGTATTACCAAGTTCCATCCAAATAGAAAATTTGCCGTTGTTCTTGTCCATATTTAGTTATTCGTTCTAGGTATTTGTTACGCAATTCCACTATTCTTCTGCTTTCCATAACTGCTTGACGTTTGTTTATTGTTTTAAATCTAAATCCTAGTTTCTTTATCCAATTCTGAAGAGTTTTGTCGCAGCAGCTCACGTTATGGCCGGAAGTATTCAATTTCTTCTTCATGATTTCAGTTGTAGAAATCTCATTGCTTATGTAATAGTCGTATATTGTTTTTTCAATGATTTTATTAGATGAACATCTGAAGGTTTTGGTAATCCTGTATCACATCGCGTCTTGCGTTCATAAGGTTTGTTTTTGACTATTTTACGTACAGCTGAGAAAGGAATTTTGGTCAAATATGATGTTGTTGTGATAGTTTGTTTCCCTGGAAACCAAACTTGAGATNAATTAGAAACAAATCCCTTTAAAAATTAAAACACAACATTTGAAACATCAATTTGAATACTTTTCGAAGTGAATTTGAAAAACTCATGAATTAAACTCAACCTTATTTTGTTCAAACTTGCATTTGCTGTAATAACCCAAATAGAGGAACATTCCCCATTGTCCAACCTTTCCCCCAACTTCATTCTACATCACCAACTGTGAAATGATAGTGATTAGATTGGAATTGAATCGATTTACTAGTTGTGTATTTACTGAAGCAAATGCGACAAGCAATATTGGTTTTGGTTTGTCAAATCTAGTTGTTGATTACGGATAATCAGTGGAACATGTTGACTGACATCATGTCACCTCATTCAATACATACAAAGGCTGGATTCATTAATATGCAGCGGTTGTGTATTGAAATAAATGATGATTTTGATAATATTGTTCGAATAATCCTCTTTCGTAAGGTATTTGGATTAAAATGTGCGAGTGAGCTGAGTGTCAAAGTGTGATGTTTATTCTCTATGTACCTGTTTTGAATAATCTGAAGCAAGTATATAGATAAGAAGACAAGCTAATTGTTTTTTTGGGAAAGAAAGTTTTTGGCTTTCTACCACACCATCTTGATACAAAAAAATGTGGGAATCTTCCAAAGAAAGGAAGGAAACAATCAATTTTAAAAGTAGTAACTCTATACTTATATGTATGTGTAGATCATGCAAAGAAGTAACTTTCAGACACAAACTGGAAGAAAAAGCCCCCCTGAAACAGCTACTTTCATTTGAACATTGAATTACACGAAAAAAAGATTCTTTCGAAACAAATATTTCCATATGAACAGTGAATTATACAAAAACACTTTTCTCTACTCAGTTTATATTCCAATTGTTTTTTAACTGAAAATAACCCTTTTTGTATATTTTTCACATTGTGAATATAATTCTGTGAATTTTCCTTGAAATGGATGACTGTTGGTCAATGAAGTGACGATAATAATAATGATGATGATAGTACCCAGTGGTGAAATGGCGCAGTTGTGTTGCGCCAGACTCACGATTGAAAGGTCGTGAGTTCGATCCCAACTTCGACTAGTTATTTTCCTCGATCGAATGTATTTAGTTGAAATTGGGATAATTCTGTGACTTTTCGAGGCTGAGAGACTGTGTGAATAGCTGTGTCGGTATAAAACGGCAACGGTGAAGGTGCCTCTTGTAAGTTATCTAGGAAAGTGTAAGATATTTACGGAAATAAGGACAATAAATAAAACTTCCTTCAAGGAGGTAGATCAATAAGGTTAGTGATTGGACTTCAGCTTAGTAATTAGTTAATCATCAATCTCAGCAGTAAAAAGAATCTGTAAGTCATAACCTCACAACTGAACCTCACAACAAATTCTACGAGTCTTTGTTGCCAAATCTAATTTAGTCACCGTTTCAAGATGTCATTGAAAACTACGAGATCACGAAGTCGTACTCTACCCACCCAACTAATGATGATGAAAAACTACAAAAACTCCAGAGAGAAAAAGATAGACTCAGAAAGACCCTGGAAATGAAAGAAAGTGAAGAGGAGGATATTATAAGCCAGCTACAGGAACAAATACAAATCTTGACGAGAAATAATGAGAAAAAAAAATACATTACCTAGTTGAAAAAGCGGAATCAAGATTTCGAAGACGTTGAACAGAGCTTCTCAATAGAAAGTCACAGACAACGAACAACAATATCGGAACTCAATGAAGAAATTACGAAACTAACAGAAAATATCAAGAACCTGAAAATAAAAAGTGAAGAATTCGAGTCGAAACTGGAAGCAGAATTCATTATATCAGAAATGGAGGAAACAAAAATAAATATGCCAACCACAATTGGAGTACTCACCAAAGAAAATAATATGCTCTCTACACAATTACAAGAGATGAGGAATCACAAGGATTTGATTGCATTTGATAGCAAAATACCTTCTTAGCAAGGAAAGAAATATGGCGATAGGATAAATTATGAAGAAAGAAGGGAATTCATCGGGAAGAAAAGAACCTGATCTGGAGATAACTTGAGAACGAACCAGAAAGAATCAAAGACCAAGATTTTAATTATGTAGGTAACATATGTACGGTTCAATCTATATTGAAGCCGAACGCTAATGACAATATACTGATTGAAACTGCTTTGAACAACAGCAAGGACTTTGGTAATAACGATATTGTTATTCTCTGGCCTAACCGATACAACAAAGAATTTATTACCGATTTTTTGTTGAAAATTTATAGAAAGAATCTTTTTTGAAAAATATATACTCTGGGATTAAATCGGTGTCCGATTTTCGAATGCAATACTGTTATTTATAGAAGCTGTTATAAATTTAATGGGTTTTCAACCTCTCATTATCACAGAACCTTATAGATATGACTACAAACAAAATAATGAATATATTTATAGGAAGAATCTGGAACTTTTTCAAAAAATATATACTCTGGGATTAAATCGGTGTCCGATTTTCGAATGCAATACTGTTATTTATAGAAGCTGTTATAAATTTAATGGGTTTGGATTGAATCATAAAGGAAAGTTACTGCTAGGAAAGGGTTTGTTCAGTATATTAAAAACAACTATTGTACCTCATTTTCTGTAAAAAAATCTGTAACGTCTACCATACAATATGTAAAGTCCAATTCTCCTATAACTGGAGAGAGGTCTTGAACTTTCACTGAACTTTGTGAGAAAAATGTAAATAATGATTTTTTATGAAAACTTTCACATCACTTGATGCGGAGGATAACTCCAGTATTAAGTCGTTTGAACCAGAACATGTAAGGGAAAATTCATCCAATGCAAAATTACTTGACGTGGAGGATAACTCCATTATAAAAATCATAAATTGGAATGTACATCAAACAAAATTAATTTTATTGAGCAACTGAGCAACTGCCATAATATGTTTATATAGATCACCAAACAGTATTGTCAACTTATTCCTCGTGCAACTATCCTCTCTATTGAACATAGTTACGGACAAGTTTGAAAATGTGTTTATATGTGGTGACTTCAATATCGACAGTTTAACGAAAAATGTTAATACATTTATGCTGTACGACATAATCGAATCTTATGGATTGATATCTCTTTTTGACGAACCAAGAAGAATCGGAACTTTAGGCAAGCATGAAACTGTTAGTAGTATAGTTTTGACAAACACTAGTTTG